GACCTGAACCCTTATTAGCCCCACCCTGTGCCCTCGGGCTTCTCTCATCCTGCTGCAGGGCATACGGAGGGAATTGTTAACTGTGTAAATGAGTGGGAATGTAATGCAGACATCAACCAGTCTCCACTGACAAAAGCATCCACACAGAAGGCATAACTAATATCTCAGACAAGGACTTAATATCCCCATGGTGAGACACAACAGCTTTCACTCTATGGAAATAGTTTTTGATCGTTCCCTTAGCCTTTTAATGGGAGCAAGCAATATAAAATCAATTCTTGTGGGCCTGCGATGGGGGCAGGCCTGAGGGGTGGTGGGGAAATGGACGCAGGAGTGGAGGGAAGTGACAGTGGGGGAGGGATTGGGGCTGGAATCTGGAAGCCTGTAACAAATCATTGTAAATCACAGTGTTTAAATAAAGTGGGGCGGGGTTGTGGGAGGGGGTGATGTGGGGATTGTGGAAGTGAAGAGATGTTGCTTTCCTTTCTCTCCCTTCAAAGTGACAGTCTTGAGATAGGTTTCACCATTTTCTCGCTTTGTCTTCTGTTTCCGATGACTGGGCTGTCATACTACTCTTTCTTTGTTACTCTTCTCTGACGGTGAATCCTGCTCTTCAGTACGGCTTCCATGCATAACCCTTCTTATTCTGCTCACCCACCTGTAGCAAAGGGTGATCTTGTCTGAAATGCAGCAGTGCTGAGGCTGGAAAACCCTGGAACATGAAGCCACTGGTTTGCTTTAAAACCCAAGCTCTTTAATTTTAGCTCTGGGACTTCAGAAAATAACCTGTGCGTTTTAGTTTTTGTGTCTGTAAAATGTTAACTATAGATACAAACAGCATCCTTAAGGAATAAAGAAGATAAGCTCTAAACACATATGCTTGGAACAGAGAATTTACTAAGTGGCAGCTGTTGGTATTTCAAGTTTATAGGCTATTTTCCAACACTCCCTGAAGCATTTTTTCCCTGAGTCTAAAAATTCTTCAAAAGGCCAAGTTCTTGGGTCTTTATAAATAACCACCAAAAAGGACCCAAAAATTAATTTCTGCCGAACCCAGTATAAAGAAAACATGATTCCTGTGGAGACTTAAATGGACATGCGGGTGTTTCAGTGGTCGAAAGTAAATCTTTTATGTTAGACGATGCTTTGTTTTTAGAGACTCAACATTGCAGTGCAAAGGACCTTTTGCCAGTACTATATTGTCAAAAACCGAGATCAGTAGTAAACGTTATTAAGAGACAGAGGGAAACATTGGAAAACACAGAGAACACAGTACATAAACACCATTCACTTTTTTTTAAAAGTGATTTTGTTTTTTTAATTTATTTTTTTAGAGCATTACAAAGCCATTCATGATTGAATTTCAGTCATATAGTATTCCAACACCCATCCCTCCACCAGTGTATATTTCCCAGTACCAGTGTTCCTAGGTTCCCGCCCATCACCCCCTACCCCCTGCCTGCCTCTTTGGCAGGTGCTTTTCTCCCCTCTTTCTCTCTCTGTCTCTCTCTGTCTCTCTCTGTCTCTCTCTCTCTCTCTCTCTCTCTCTCTCTCTCTCTCTCTCTCGGGCATTGTGGGTTGCAATATTGATACTGAAAGGGTATCAAGAATATTCCTTACCTACTTTTAAACCTCAGATCTTGTTCAGTGTGATCATTCCCAGCTATTATTTTCATAGCGGTCTCTTCTCTATCTTACCTACCCTCAGCCCCGCACACACTTGTGGTTAGTTCCAACCATTGACCAATCCTTCTAACCCCTGTTTAACGTGGCCATGGATATTATTCTTTCACTATATATTTTTTTATATGCCACAAATAAATGCAGTCATTCTGTCTCTCTCCCTTTCCTTCTGACTCATTTCACTTAGCATGATCCTCTCCTTGTCCATCCATTTATAGGCAGATTTCATGACTTCATTTTTCCTAACAACTGCATGGTATTCCATTTTTTAGATGTGCCATAGTTTCTTTGTCCATTGTCTGTTTGGGGGCACTCAGGTTGTTTCCAGATTCTGGCTATGGTGAATAGTGTTGCAAAGAACATAAGATTGCAGATGGTGTTTCTGCTGTGTGTTTTTGGGCCCCCAGGATATATTCCCAGAAGTGGTATTGCTGGGTCAAACGGGAGCTCAATTTCTAGTTTTTTGAGAAAACGTCCATACTGTTTTCCAAAAAGGCTGGACTAGTCAGCATTCCCACCAACTGTGAAGAAGAGTCCCCTTCTCCCCACCTCCACGCAAACACCTATTGCATTTGCTCTTTTGGGTGTGTGCCAGTCTCTGTACACCATTAACTCTTAAAGTAACACTCATTTATAAATAGGAAATTTGATACTAGTTTTCCAAGACTATGTGTGTGTGTGGGGGGGGGGGGGGGTGGGGACTTTGTAGCAGTTCCTGGCCTTTACCCACTAGATGCCAGAAGTATCCATCTTCAGATATTGCCAAATGGACCCTGGGAGGCAAAATCATCCTTAGTTTAGAAGAGATATTCCCAAACTTACTCGGCCACTGCCCCCATTTCAAAAACAAAAAACAGAAAACAATTTCCAGCGGGGTCTCTCAGCACCCACCCTGGAAATCTGACTTCTTTAAGCGAACAGAGAAAAAACACCCCAAGTAGCACCAGGGGCTACTCCTACCCTCTCCTCCCCTGCCTTGCCCTATCATTCTGGGTCAGTGGGTACAGTATCCCTATTTTGAAGACGTTGCTTTAGAACCACTGACCTAAGCCTGGATTGGAATTCTAGCTCCGGGGCCTGTGTGTGAGATCAAACACCCTGCCCAACTTAACTCTTAAGTGAGATCATGTGTGTTAGTGGTTAGTGTAGCACCTGTCATATGTGATATTCAAGTACTGTCCTCTCGTTGTTCATTGATTTTGCTCGAGTGGGCCCAGTAACGTCTCCATCTTGAGACTTGTAGTTACTGTGTTTGGCATATCGAATAGATCACGGGTAGCTTGCCAGGCTTTGCCCTGCAGGCGAGATACTCTCAGTAGCTTGCCGGGCTCTCCGAAAAGGGCGGAGGAATCGAACCCGGCTTGGCCAGGCTGACTGTGCACAAGGCAAACGCCCTACCGCTGTGCTATATCGCTCCAGTCCAGCTCTCACATGGCGTGCACTAAATAATAGCAATTTACTTTGACAGTAAAAATCTATTTTTCTCTGTGTCTCTATGTCCTCTAGAAGTAAAATGCCCATCTTTGTGTCCCGTGGTCAGGTTGTTGCCCTTGTGGCTGTTGAACAGTAATTTCTCATCCCAGGCTTCAGGAGGCACAAGTCTGTCGTGAGAGCGTTGAGTCTGGTTTGCGTTCTCCCTGGCTTTGCAGTGATTTGCTTCTCTTCTTCTTGTGTTCTTGACCAAACTCTGCAGCCAGCAGTAGGGTATTTCATTTCATTTGAGTATCCTCCTACCATAGAATTGTATATAGCCCTGTCCTCCCATTGTTCATCGATTTGCTCGAGCGGGCCCAGTAACGTTTCCATTGTGAGACTTGTTGTTACTGTGTTTGGCATATTGAATACGTCACGGGGAGCTTGCCAGGCTCTTCCGTGCGGGCGAGATACTCTCAGTAGCTTCCAGGCTCTCTGAGAGGGGCGGAGGAATCGAACCCGGCTTGGCTCCGCAGGCAGCTTGCAAGACAAACGCCCTACCGCTGTGCTATCGCTCCAGCCCAGAATTGTATATGAAGTTCTTCATATGTTCGTACTCTCTTGAATTAGTCTCTGTGCTATAGACTAGTTCAGGCATACAGGAAATGGATGTATAGACATTAGAAAAAAACCAAGACTTTGTTTTTGTTTATTATTTCTTCTTAGTTTTTGATTTACGGTAATAATCACTAAGAATTATTTATTTGTTCTTTAGCTTTTCTTTTGCAAGTATGATTGTCTATTAATAGCCTGTAATTGCTATTACCTACATGATATTTACATTTGATGAAAGGGCCAGAGAGTTTAAAGGAATGAGCATATGCTTTGCTTGTGGGGGATCCAGATCTGTCCCCAGCACCACTCATCACATAAACCCCTGCTGGGAGAAACCGTCAACCTCACCCACCCAGTACCAAGCCAGAAATAGTCCTTCAGCTCTTCTATTTGTGACGCCCAGACCATAAATAAACAAATAAAATTTACTGGAATTCTGGGCAGGGGCCAGCCATATGGTTGGCAAGTACAAGGCCCTGAGTTGAGTCCTTGTCACTGCATATACCCTGGTGGCCTACAAGTGATGTCACTGGGACTACCCCCGACCCCCATGCTCATACAATTGGGCAAGGCCCCTAATTTAAAAGTACATAACCTGGACACTGAGAAAAGAATGAGAGATCAGGAAAGGAAACTCTCAGTATACTATCAGTATACAGGAAGACGTTCTAAGTACTTTTTATTGTTATCACCTAATTTACTCCTTGCAGCAATCTCTGCAAAGTAAGGACCATTATCCCTGTTTCGTAGGCAAGCCAGTTGTAGTTCATTTTATGTATTATGTAACTGGGGAATAAGAGCCCGAGTCTGAAGCCTCGACTTTCACTCCACAATCTGTTTGATTTTCTTATTACCATGTTACCTCCCTCAGATGAGGTGCATTCATCCGTCTTAAATTTCTTTGCAGACCATGTAGACTCAGGACCATAGGATAATAACATACATTGGAGCAGAAATGTCATTTTTCTATTGCCACATGTCTTTCTTACCGAGCCTTACCAGTTCTTTCCTAGCCCAGCTTCTCTTTATAGGAATAAGGAAAGCTTTTAATCTCAGTCATTTTTTTTCTCTACATGCATGACCCTTTAACAATTATTATATGTATATGTTTGAAAACAGCTGATGAAAGTAGCATGAATTAAAAATGGAGAGAGCTACATAGCCAGTAAGAAAAGCAGTCTCAAAACTGCCGTGTGTTCTGTTTGTTCTAAGGGTGGCTGAGTTAAAGATGTTTTCATATCTGTGGTTCCCTAAAACTCTTCTGTATTTGGTGTGATTTGTATTTTTAGCTGAGAGAAGAAAAGTTACAAGAGGAGAAAACCTCTGACGATCAAATCCACAAGCTGTTACCAGAGGACACAGAAACAGGGAAAAGGAAAATGGAGGAACAGAAGAAAAGGGAAGAGCCATTAGTACTGAAAACGAACTTGGAGCATGTAAGTGGATTTGCCTTTCGTTCGTCTGGGGGCCGTAACTGGTGGTACTCAGGGGCTAGTCTCCAAGTGGTGCTTGGAGAACTGTGCAGTGCTGGGAATGGAATCCAGACCTCCCACATGCAAAACAAGTACAGCCCTTCGAGTGCTCTCTCTCTCTCTTTCTTTCTCTCTCTCTCTCTCTCTCTCTCTCTCTCTCTCTCCCCTCCTCTTCTTCTCTCCCCTCTCTCTTTCTTTTTCCTCTCCCTCTTTCTTCTCTCTCTCTTCCATCCCCCCTCCCATGGACGTCTGATTTAAAATCAGCAAATCAGCAATTGGTCCAGATGATATGGCTCAGAAAAATTCATATTAAAGAACTGTGAGCCCAGTGGAGTCAGTGTCTGTGCATCTTCAGAGTAGTGAAGAACTAACTTAGCATCCAGATGAGAGATGGAGAGAGTGATTTTTGAGTGGAACATGAGATTTGTGTGGGAAGATTAAGGCAACAGTACTGGAAAACCTTGAATGAGAGAAAAAAAAATCTAATATATAACTTGGAGTGAATTTTACACATGTATATTATCGTCTTGACTTATGTGGTTATTTGACACTTAAGTTTAAATGTCAAATGCACCTCAACTAAATTTTCTTAAATCTTGACATTCTTAATCTTTTCCATCTTAAATCCTTAAGATTTCCTTCATCCTAAATACAAAATTTTACTTTTTATTTCTCCTAATTCTTTATAGTGCCCTAAGTACCAGAGTGCTTAGATATAAGGTAAATTCCCAAAATTAAGTTAGATACTTAGTTTAATAAACTTAACCTTTGTTGGGCATTATGTTTAAACTTCCAATTAGGCCAAATCTTGCCTGAACTTTTTTTCATTTCTTGTTTACAAGACAAATCGCTGCAAAAGATTGTAAGTGGTATATTTAACTTATGTAAGATGACACTTTTGGAGGATGCACCAATTACATTTAAATGAATAGTTATAATTGAGTTTTTTTTTCTTTAGTTTAGTAGTCAGATTAGGTTTGGCCTCTTCCATTGCTTGTTGTATGTGCTTATTATCTCTTTAGACGCATCTTTCAAATTATTTTTGTAATTTAGACATATTAGAATTTCAGGCTATCTTTTTTCTCATTTCACACTTTTATTTTATATAACAAAATATAAACTCTCCTGGTTTTGGCTTTGTTTTAAAAGTTTTATAGACACCATTATTGACAAAGTTGTTGATACTAGAGTTGTTTTATCTTTTTTTTTTTTTTTTTTGCTTTTTGGGTCACACCTGGCGATGCACAGGGGTTACTCCTGGCTCTGCACTCAGCAGTTACTCCTGGCGGTGCTCAGAGGACCATATGGGATGCTGGGAATCTAATCTGGGTCGGCTGCGTGCAAGGCAAACGCCCTACCCGCTGTGCTCTCTCTCCAGCCCCGATACTAGAGTTGTTTTAGGCATACAGTGTTTCAACACCAGTTCCACCAACAGTCTCCCTGACCCTCCACCAGTGTCCTCAGGTTCCCTGCACCCCCGCCCCCAGTTTGCCCCCTTGACAGGTATATATCAAATTTATCCCCTATTGTTTGTTCCAACAAAACAAATCACAATTAGACTTATCAGAAAATAAATGAACAAAAGTCAGTTCACAGTGACTAATTGCCATATAATTTTGACCTATGTAAATAAAGAAATTCAAGTTATTTAATACAATATAGTATACTGCCTATCATTTACACAACTAAGTTTTCAACTCTGGCATTTAAAATGTATTGCGTTGAATTTTATTTTGTATTTGGATCTTATTATGGTAACCATCTTCTCTGTCATAAATGAAGCTACCACCCGCCCCCACCTTGGCAGACATATCATAAATATATTTCATATTACTTGGTCCAAAAAGTCTTACAAGAATGGCAAATAAAATTATCAGAAAATAAATCAATAAAAGTCAGTTTGTGATGAGTAATTGCTATGTTTTCAATCTTTCTTAATCTAGTAAAGGACAACCATATGCACCATTACTGAGTGCCATACTCACTGCCACATGGTGGGAAGTGTCTTTTAAAGGAGCTCTTTTAACTCTTCTTGCAAAACTGGTTTCAAGTTTATGAATTCCCTAAGCTGTTGCCTGTTCTTGAGGCTCTGTGTAGTTCCTTCGGATCTGAATGATAATTAGTTGGAGAGAGCTTTCTTGGTGAGGTGTTCATCTCACTGTCTTTGTACTGTATGTCGCCATCATCTTCTGGCTCAAAGAATCGCATTTGATAGATCTGTTGTATATCTTATGGGTTTTCCTTTGAATGTAAGTTCTCTTTTTGATCTCGGTTCTTTCAGTTGTTTTGTCTCTCTTTGGATTTTGCCATTTTGAGTATAACGTGTCTTAGAGTTTTCCTGATTGGGTCTGTTTTCACTGGGACCCTTCAGGCCTCTTGGATCTAAGTGCTGTAATCCTGAACTCCGGGAATTTCTCATAGATGATTTCTTTAAATAACGTTTCTTCAACACATTTCTTTCCTGTTACTCAGGGACTCTGATAATTCCTATATTGTTCCCTTTAAACTCATCTCATAGTGCCCTGCTATGCTGTTCATTTTTTTTTTCAGGCTATTTTCCACCTTCTGCTGTTCTGCTTTCTTGCCTTGGAGCTCCTTGATCTGTGCTCAGCTTCTGTTTTTCTGCTGTTTAGTTTCTATTGACTTTTTTCGTTGTCACCTATCATGTTCTTTTCTGTTATTTTTGACAGTGATTTTTTTTTTTTTCATTTTGACTCTCCTACATTCTTGTGCTTTGCTGACTGGGAGTCAGCAGAGAGTTTGCTATAGCTTCTTTGAGCTCATCCCCATCGTGGTGTCGCTAAAAATACCACTGAGGATTTACTGGTGTTGTTTGAGTCTTCGGCGATACTATTTTTGCTCGTTGAGCTTGGTGGACTTCTTCATGTTTTCCCCATTGGTTTTCTAGTGTTCTTGCTGTGCTGTGGGTGAGTCTTTGTAGTTAATCTCCCTGGAAGATGCTAAGGGATTAAACTGGAGATCACATTGTCTTCTCCACCTGCCCTCACAGAATGACAGGAAGAGTAACTGTGGGCAGCCTGGAATTTGTTGTATAGATCCGTTGCACAGTAGCCTACATGACTGGGCATGTCAGGAACTGTGGTGTGGGTCCTTACTATAGTGCAGGCCAGGTATGGAGGCTGGGACCCACCTGGGAAGGAGGCGCTCTGCCTCCATTGGAGTCTGTCTCCCATGTGGAATAGGCCCAGTGATGTCAGACACAAGCAAGCCTCACCTGGCGGAGCAGCAGGCAGAAGGTCGATGAGGTTATCTTTTAATTCACCAAAATTGATAAAGCTTTACCATATATAAGACAAGTAATATAGAGTCGGGAAAAAAATCTCTGGAAAGAAAGAAGTCTTCCTTTTAAGCAGGTATTCAGAGGTGAAGCCAAGTTTACAACTTTGGCTTGGTTATTTTTTTGTGCTTCTTTGTGCTTTGATTTCTTTCTGCTTTTGGTTTACTCTTGACAAAAACATTTTCCTGAGTTTCAAAATTTGATATCACGTTTTAAAATTTTATCTATTGAGTCACCATGAATTCCAAAGTTACAGAGTTTTCATGATTGAGTTTCAGGCACCAGTCTCTCCCCGACACCAATCCCTCCCCTCTGCCATGGAATTTGATATTTCTTAAAGAGCACTTTCCGGGCTGGAGCGATAGCACAGCGGGGAGGGCGTTTGCCTTGCATGCAGCCAACATGGCTGACACAGGTTCGATTCCCAGCATCCCATAGGGTCCCCCGAGCACCGCCAGGAGCAATTCCTGAGTGCATGAGCCAGGAGTAACCCCTGAGCATCACCGGGTGTGACCCAAAAAGAAAAAAAAAAAAAAGCACTTTCCTTGGTGGTACTTTCTGATTCTTGTTAACATAATAGTAATTATTAGTTATTATTTTTTAAGAATTATGCTTTTAGCTTTCTAAAAGTTTTCATGATAATACAGTGAAAAACAGTTGTGTACTTTTAAAGCTCTATTAATTTGAGAACTACAAAAGAAAAAAATCCAGAAGACTGGAGAGTGTGGTGATACAGCTAAGGAATTCAGATAGAAAGGCAAGAATAAAATAACTGATAGACTTCCGCTGCAGTATTTTTCAACTAATAACCCCCTGTGGTCTGTGCTCTAGGCTCGAACAACTATGAGTCTGCCTATTTACCCCAACATCATTGTCCCCTAGGGGCCATGGCAAAAAATCCTCAGCGATCTCTCTTTTTGTACAAATTTGCCTTGACTGAGAGACCTGACCCTTTGCTTTGGTCCTTTGATTTAGCACTGCACTGTCCTCCCGTTGTTCATTGGTCCTTAGATTAAAAAAAAAAAAAGAAAAGAAAAAGAGCCTAATGTTTTTGGCTGTGCCAATCCAGGTTTCTCAGGAAATGATCTCTATTATTAATTGATGTCAAGATTAGGAAATGGCTTTAATTATTTTTACCTTGACATCATATTTGAAGCCGAAATCAATGGCATCAACTTATTTTAATCTTAAAAGGAACTAGGAACTGAAAATTCTCAAATTCATTTTTACTGATATTGGCCAGTTTCAAAAATTTTCTGTGCAAAATACATTGAGACCATCGTGTTGAAGCAAATACGAACACTTCATGTTTCAGATTTTAAAATTTTGACTTTTTTTTGGTTTGCTTTCAGTTTTTATTTATTTACTTTTTATTTATTTACTTTTTATTTATTTTTTTAGCTTTTGGGGTCACACCCAGCGATGCTCAGGGGTCACTCCTGGCTCTGCACTCAGGAATTACTCCTGACGGTGCTCAGGGGACCATACGGGATGCTGGCAAGGCAAACGCCCTCCCCGCTGTGCTATTGCTCCAGCCCCTGGTTTCAGTCTTTAAAATGGTTCTAATTTTTCTATAAAAAATGAGTTCTTGGTGTTGAACAAATAATTTCATTTAGCTTAGTTCAGGCACTGGAGCAATAGCACAGTGGGGAGGGCGTTTGCCTTG